TTAAGTGGCCTATTCAGCTGTCTCAAATGTTGTTAGTTCTGCAAGCTCTAGCCCACTTCCCACTACTCCCCTCCCATCCCCTCCCCTTCCCTTCCCTACTTAGGCCCTCAACAGAAGTGCTCACTCTATTTCCATGTTCAGAAGCTCCACCAAGGCATTGAACGTGCCCACCTCCAGGAGCAGAAAGATGTTGTAGCGCATCCAGAACTGCACTTCTGCCTCTGAGCTGCACTCTCCAAAAGTACCTGCAAACCCAGGGCAGAGCTTACCAAGACCCTCCAGACACAACTAGGCACTGTCACCGGCAGAGGTGTCAGGGTTCCCTGGGGACATCATCACAATACCTTGGGCAACATAGAGAATTGCTCGAGCCACCTTGAGTCTTTTCTCCCGGGCAGTGACTTCCAAGCCATCCAGAAGCCTCATGGCATGGGTACGGTGCTGGTTGGTATCCAGCTCGGTCCACTTCTTGTCTGTCACTGCAGGGCACGAGACACTTATAACTGAACCCACATAATTCCTTACAATAAAATGGGCTGTGCTAATCTTTCAAATCAGGTCAGGAACAGGACCAGAAAGGCAAGTTACTCCTTCATAAGGGATAAGGCCACACTGCTGTTCTGTGAACTGGAATTCCCATCAGAATGCCCAGAATGCCCACGTGACATTCTACATGTTGCATCTGGCCTTGAACAACTAGTACAACAGTTTTTTTTTCATGTTCCTGGATGTCTTAGATCAGTCTGATGATGAAGAGAAACCCTGTCCTCTCCTGATGCAATATGAAGTGAACCAAGAGGGGGGACGTGCTCTCACCATGGATCCGGAAGTCCTCCTCAAAGCATTTTCGATTCATCAGGAATTCTGGTCCTTCTGTATAGCTGTAAAGCTCTGTCAAAGAACAAAGTCTCACCATTACCACACTCCACATCAGTTCTCAGGTGCAGCAGAGAAAGTAAGGCATTTGTTTCCAGCCCAACTATACTCCTGCCTGAGTCACAGGGATCCTTAGACTACCCTCTCTGGTTACTAGTGGGGAAGGTCTTAGAGTTCTCATGTACTCGACAGACAACACTGGCCACTTGGAAGCTCTAACTGGAATGTCAGCGGAGCATAAATCTGGGCATTTCTAGTATGATATGTATTAGACTGTGCTGTGTCAGAGGCTGACCATCACCCTGAATACGTTTCAGTGTCACCTCCTGAATAAGGATCGTGAAGCCAGGAGAAGCAGCTTATGCTGACCTTATATTATAGATCGATGACGTTAGCTGTGACAGATGTACAAAGATTTGAGTGCAGTGGCTAGCATTCCTGGGACTCACCACTCTTTAGAGATCTGTCCAGTTGTTGTTCAGCAAAGGGTACCACTAACTGTCTTACCCTGGGACTGGGCGATAACCAATTCAGCTGAAGATAAAGGACCATCCAAAATAACTGAATACACATTCCAAGTTAAATAACCAACTAATGCTTTAGATATCATTAATAGGAATACATAGAGAAAAATTATATCCAGTCTTAATTTTCTTAAGAACCAAGTCAAAAGTCCTGTCAAATGGGACAAGGGTCTATCTATACGTTACCTGCGAGCTCTGCAGCCCACTTGTCTGTGTCAGCATACTCAAACTCCAGGTCCGGAGACTCAGAATAGCCCTAATGAATGGAAAGAACGTCACACAGAAGATCCTCCTGAGTGTTTTGCAAAGGGATAAACACAAATACCTCAGAGACACTATGGCACTACGTGACATTACTGCCTCTACTTTTTTCATCTTTTACCACAGTATTTTGTCTCCTGAGCTAGCTGAAGTCCCCTTTAAGCCCTCTCCAGCACCCTGTATTTCACCTTCAAAGCACCTACTCTAAACTAGAATTATTCACTGGATTCCTTTTTTCACTCATCCTCCTCTCCATAAGACGGTAAGTTCCTGGAAACAGAAACTCTGTTCTGCTGAACAATGATATTCACTACACACCTGTTCAACAACAAACACAAAACTTCTATTTTGCTCAGTGCCTGACCATTCCACACAGCACCGGATATCTTCTTTCTGAACTGTGGACTATAAAGAGCTAAGGACAAAATGAGTACTGAAACCCTCAGCCACTTTGCTCTTATCTCAATTTTCAGTGAGAACTGACAGACAGAGAAAGCAGAAACGGAACAGATTGGCCTTCCTCCCACACACAGGAGAAAATGCAATGAGAATCTGTTAGGGATAGGTGATTCCTGAGAACACGCCATCTTGGAAGCCTTGTGCTGGGAAGAGAGGATCAGGAAAAAAAAAATGGATAAAGCTAGTCTTGATTAAAATGTACTTGAAAGAGCAGAGGGTAGAGGTCAGTGTAGGTCACCTCACCTACTATGTGCTAGACCCTAGGCTTACTCTTCAGCATTGGGGGTGGGGGAAGAAGCAAGTGAGATGGAGGCTGGGTCTGGGAGAACCTTATGAAAGATAATGACCATGGACAAAATGACATAATTTACCACAAACAATAGCTCTACTCCTTAGTAATGGACAACAGTGGACACTTACAAGCTACTGAGTTTCTAGGCAAGGGATATAGTTCAGTGGTAGAATGATTACCTAACATGTGTAGAGTCCTGGATTCATGTCCCAGCACCACCAAAACACAAATAAAATCAACAGCAATACAAATTACTGAGGTTGAGTTCTCATTTACGGAATGGGAATGACAAAAATCTGCTTTTCTTACCACTTTTTTTTGACAATTTCATATACATTATATAATGTATTGTGATCATATTCACAATCAAATCCATTACCCTTTCTTATCCCCTCCCAATGTACTTAAGTCGAGACAAGGTTTTACTGTGGAGCCCAGGCCTTGAGCTCTGATCCTCCTTCCTCAGCATCCTGTGTATTGAGACTGGAAGCCCGCTTGGCTGCCTTGGCTAATTTTGAGGACATAGCACATACTGAGCTCTCCTCCCTGTCCTCTAGACATTGACTTCAGCTGTCACTAGGAAACGTGTGCAGCATCAGCATCTCTAACACAAGCAGACAGATCTCACTATTTGACGGGCTTTCCAGATGTTGGCTGTGGTGAAATCAAAGGGTAGAAAGAGAAATTAAAACGTCTAATAGAGGTTGAGGGTGTAGCTCGGCAGTACGGTGTCTGCCAAGCTTGAACAAGGCTTGGAATTTGAGTCTCATCATCACAAAATAATAAAATGCATGAAAGGGTATTTATCTATTTGGGGGCTAGTTAGGGAAATTTAAAACTTCTTTACCTGCTGAGTCATCTTGCCGACCCTAAAACATTTTCTTAAAGATTTACTTATGTGTCTATCTGTGTGTTTAAGTGCATGCATGCATGCAAGTTCCCACAGAGGCCAGAAGGAGGGTACTGGATCCCTAGGAGCTGGAGTTAAAGACAGTCGTGAGCTGCTCAATATGGGTGCTGGGATCCAAGCTCAGGTCCTCTAAGAGAGCAGCAACTGCTTTTAACCACGGAACCATCTCTCCAGCCTCCTAAAACATTTAAAAGAGAAAGTCTGGGGTATAGTTCAATTCTTGGGTTATTCTTCAGAAAAACTGAATAAGTCTGGTCATTAAAGGTGTTTCACAAACTTAAACTTTCATATTCCTCCATACTTGAAAGATCACTGAGAAGTGGCCACTGATGAGCCATTGTTCCACAGTAAAAGATTCCTAAAGGATCCATCTTCTGCTTTTTCAAAAAAGACTATTCTAAGCTCAGTCTCTCTATTCTGGGCTTGTTCATTTGCAACATGTTTTAGCAAGGTTCGAGCCTGCAACAAAAATGTTTGAAAGGAACTAATTTCAGAGGTATCATTGATCTCTGGTTTGAGCTGGAGCATCAAATTCGGATAATGAGGAATTCCCTCTCAGCAAGTGCCTGACTGCTCATCACACTGGGAGTTGTCCCAGGTGGAGACTGCATAGTAAGTGCTCTGGGAATGAATGTGCTGATTAAGAAGCCCTAAAATGCTGCCACGGGTGTGTGTTCATTCATGAATTCTGCAAACGGAAGCAGTGGGAGGAATTTTAACTTGGGACGAGGTGAATAGCTCCATACTGCGCGAGCAAAGGGAATCACAGCTCACTAGCAAGGAGAATCCGACGCTCTTTGGGTACTTCTGATCCTTAACAATTTAGTATTGGGTCCACTGGGCATACAGACACTTGTCAGTGTCTGCCCATGGCCTGATCCTACACTGGCTAAAGTTTGGAGGGGAAGCCAGGACTCACTCTCTCTCTCTGCCTCTCTCACAACACGGGCCACGCAGCACTAGAGATACAAGCTCTGTCCTAAAGCGCCCTCTAAACTCTCCTGGGTCCCCCTTCGCTAACAACTGGCGTGGCCCACCGCCCGTCCAGGACCACAGGCCGAAAATGATGAGGGGCTAAGAGCAGACCACCAACTCCGTACCCCAGGACTGTGCCTCAGGCCACGCCCCCGGGAGCAGACCTGCTGTCCCCGGCTCCAGGACCTTCCCCCGGGCCGCAGAGGAGTTCGAGGCAGCGCTCCGGGCTTCCCTTCCCGGGGCCGCGGGAGCTGCCAGTCTCCCTAGCTGCACGCTTCTCGGTAAAGTGACAGCCCCCAGCCCGCCTGTCAAGCCACCCGGAAGCCCGGCTGGGCCCGGAAGCTGCCCCGGTGCCGGGACCCCCTCTGCCACCAGCCCAGTGGCAGCCTCGCCCCCCTGCAGCTCTGACCTCCGAGTCTTTGCGCTGGTTGCGGTTAAACTCGCGAGCTTTGCCCCCCGGCAGGAGGCCTCCAGCGGCCCTCGGCGCCCCGGGAGGAGGCTGTGCGGTGGCAGGCGGAGGAGGAGGTGGCGGCTGGGGCTGCTTGTTGTTCACAATCAGAGGGCCGGAACAGGCGGCTGCCGGCTCCATCTTGGCTGCTCCACACCCCCGGCTCAATTCTCGGACGGGCTCCGTCAGGCAACTCTCGCGTGATTTCCTCCAGGAAATTTCCCCACTCGCCATGTTGAGTGTGGCGGCGCGTGTTGAAAGCCGGAACTGTCAATCACCTCCAGGTCTTTGTCATTTAGTTTCTCTTCCCTCCTTCCAGTGGAACTAAGGAAGAGACGTGCCACTGGACTCGCGGGAATTCCTTTTTAGGTACCTTTTAATTGGCGACATTTAACACCTTCTGCTAATCTGTCTCTTCCTTTCTTTAACATTTCTTTGCACTGACGTCACAACCCTGTCCAAGGTGAGACTAGCAGAAAGGGAAAATCAATAGACAAAGGAATCCCTTACCCATGGGTCTGGTTGAAGCCTCTTACTAGCAGAGAAGAGTTTCATTACAATTAAAAACTGGTTTTGGCTTTTTCCTCTCCCTCCACCCCGCCCCCAGTTGAAAAACCTGCAAGTTTGTAGGACTCTACAAGAAACCCCTTGTGCAACCCTAGAGACTCCTGGTTTTATCAGATTTTAATTCCTCCCGAGGCACCTCTGGAGCCTCGTTATAATTTTACTTATCACGGGGGCAGGATGGAGTGAGGGATTTCTTTCTGTTTGTTTGGTTGTTTGGTTGTTTGGTTGGTTGGTTTTTCGAGACAAGGTTTCTCAGTGTAGCCCTGGCTGCCCCGGAACTTGCTCTGTAGACCGGGCTGACCTTGAACTCAGAGAGGTTCCCCGGCCTCAGCCTCCCAAGTGCTGGGATTAAAGGTTTATACCACCACCGTTGGGCATGAGTCGGGGATTTCTTTGCCTCTTAACTTGAGAGCCACCGAAATAGTACCTATGGCTAATACTAAGACACTAAATGAACCCGGGCGGCGGTAGCGCACGCCTTTAATCCCAGCACTCGGGAGGCAGAGGCAGGCGGATCTCTGTGAGTTCGAGGCCAGCCTGGTCTACAAGAGCTAGTTCCAGGACAGGAACCAAAAGCTACAGAGAAACCCTGTCTCGAAAAATCAAAAAAAAAAAAAAAAAAAAGACACTAAATGAAAACTCGTCCTTGAGGAAGACGTACCCACACGTCTCATTTGTTTTCCTTTCTTTCTTCTAACCTTCACACCTAAAGTCTATATTTCCTAAAAAGCCCCAACTCTGCTTCATACTGGATAATCTTGAAATTCTTTTCTGCATTGAAGACACAAACCGGTTTGGGGGCATGCACATAGTGCAAAGACATACATGCAGGCAAAAAAAAAAAAAACCATATACATTTTTAAAAAATCTTAATCCTGGATTGGCCTAAATTATGACCCTGAAAGATTGGGGTACTCCTTGGGCTGCTGAAGATAGGGTGGAGCTGTGTCTCTGTCCCCAAACCACTGACAGGGACTTTAATGCTATAGTAGTGAACAAAAGAGATAGAATTCCAGTCTTCATGGAGTTTACATTCACATGGGGGAGATAAATGAGTAAATAAACACAAAATAGAAATCTATGCACACTAGAGAAATCATGGGGAAGGGGGAAGGTATGTAGCAGACACTTAGACACAGCTCTTGCTAAAAAGCATTGGCTCCTTACTCGGGCCCAAAGGTAATGAAAAGCAGAAAACCCTGACATCTTTGCCTTCATTTTGTAGCTGTCTCATTTACTCTGGGTTACCTGCTGACCTCTGCACTGAGGTATAATACTCGAGGAACATCTGTCTAAAAACTCATTTCCTTCAAATCAGAATGCCAAACACATAGGAGTAACTGAGACATTTTACTGTCACTTTTTACAGTGCCCTCTTCCAGAAGCCTTTCCCTCCAAGAGGCACCTAAGTAGAACCAGCACTGAGACAATGATCAATCAGACTGCATTTGACCAGGTCTGTTTCACTATTCCTATCTCTTTTGTTTGTTTGTTTTTGTTTTTCGAGACAGGGTTTCTGTGTGTAGCTTTGGAGCCTGCTCTGTAGACCAGGCTGGCCTCGAACTCACAGAGATCCACCTGCCTCTGCCTCCCAAGTGCTAGAATTAAAGGCGTGTGCCACCACTGCCCAGCAATTATTCCTACCTCTTGTCCCGAACCTTAATTCTTCCTCTAAAACTAAAGCTCTTGTAAATTCCCCCTAAACAGATTTGGAGTGACTAGACCCCTTATCGGTTCCTTTTCCAATGTGCATATCAATGAAATCTCTGCTTTTCAGCAGCTTCTGTCTTCATTGGCCATTTTGGAGCAGGTGATGGAGCTGGACTAGTGGAGCTGTAAAATCCAGCACTTTTGCCCTAAACTTTAGGTTACAGGTACAGGAGTGTAGTTGGATGGAATAATTTTGTGTGTGTTACTAGGAAGCGAAACTGAATCCAGAGCCACGTACATGCTTAGCAAGGGCTCTCTACCATCAAGCTGTATCTTCAGAGTGGACAGAGCAACTTCTAGCATTTTCTTTAACACAGTACACTAACTATGGTTGACAACATATTTCAAGTAACTTTATAGAAAAGGATTTTGAATGTTCTCAATGCCAAGAAATGATAAATATCTGAAATGATAGATAAGCAAAGTCATTTGATTTGATCATCACACAAGACATTATACATTAATTTAAAATGCATTTGTTATGTAAAATGTTGATACGTATTCAGAAGCATTAAAGAAAAGTCGGACTTTTAATGGTACTTGTTAAAGGTGGCAAGTCAGGCTTTATTCAGAAGGAGCCATGGCAACTGGGAGAGGAAGTTTTTTTGGGGGGAGTGAGGGTATGAGAGAGACAGGACCTAACTTTTCTTCAGCAAGGTGGAGTAAGGGAGTATTAACAACAGTAGCAGGGTGGGGGCCGTGATGGAAACTTGCTAATCAGTGACACTGAAGATGAGGGTTTTCTGGCTAAACTGTTTAAAGGATTATTTCCAAAATATGCCAGGACACCAAGAGCAAAGGGCCTAGAGTTTACAATGTAGTCAAAGTTGGTCTCATAGCAATCCTCCTGTCCCAGCTTCCCAAGTACTGGCATTGAAGATGTGAGCTATTATGTGTGGCTTTATCAGATTCAGTGAGGACAGAGAAAGAAAACTACTGCTGAACCTGGTCAAGGAGGGAACTGAAGGGAGCCTTGCCAAAGGGAAGTCAAAGCTGAGGTTTTACCAGTTTCTGAAGGAAGAGGCAATCTTTAAACAATGTGTGCTGCTCCTTAAGGGCTTAGCCTAGTTGTTTGTTTGGTAAAAGTGAGTATTTTCTTGATTGTAGAAGCAGCCAGGCATTTGGTGAGGGGGAATTTCTATGAAAATAAAAAGAAGAAGGAAGACAGTTTGTCAAGATTTCTAGATTGAGCACTAAGCATCTCTCAACAGTGGGATGTGGATGGCCATTGCACCAGGACAATTTTCCTGGTTTGCTCTGTGAGTGTTTAGGGCAGTGGACTCTTGGGTGAGCTTTCTGAATAACCACACAACAGTGCTGTGAGGTGGCTCATGCCTGGCCTGGTATGTGAGGTTTTAAAAGATTGTATCTAGTCTTAGAGTTAGTTTCCAAGGCAGCAAGAAGATTTAGTTTCCAGTGATAGACAGTCAGGAGGGCAAGAGCCAAACCAGAAACATTAGTTTGAAGGTCTTTATAGCCAGATGTTGGAGGGAGCTGAAAGAATTCAGGTATCTACTACCTACCTATAGGTAGGTAACAAAAGCTTGGGATCGTGATCAGGGCTACAGGCTCATAATGATTATGTTCGAGTTTTCTACTAAAACACAAGCTTTCTCTCTCCCATTTCTGCAAAGATAATCAGAGTAAGACAGGTGTGGGCTGATTGTTTGCAGAAGTACAGCAAGGACAGCATCTCACACACGGGCTCATTTGAAGTATTCTTTGCTGGAACTCCTTATATGGAATGTGACTGGTGTGTGTGCATGTGTGTGTATGTGTCAATCTAAGGTCTCAGGCAAGACAAAGTGTGTTAACCGAGCAATCCCCCACATCACAGAAGGAACTTTTAAAACCCCTCAAGGATAGGAAGGCCAACCTTCATGTCAGACTTTGATTTGGTTAATTCTTCTGCTTTCAGGGATCTTCTAAATATTCGCATGTTTTTAGAAGTACCAGAAAGTGGTGTTCTTTATTTCCCTGTAAGGCTGGGAACATTTTTTTTTTTAAACAAGCTATCAGGCCAGTTTTGCCAAGGACAGTATTATTCAGTCTTGGTTCCTTAATTCTCCAGAGAAACGTTGTCATCCTAACAGAGATGTGGCCAAAGTTTACTATCTGTATCAGTGTGTTTTATATTACAGCTTATTTTAAAACTTCTATAATAAAAGCATTTAAGCTTAGATAATTTGACCTCTTTTTTTTCTTGCTACAACTTCCTATGGCACTTCGGGGTTTTTTGGGTTTTTTTTTTGTTGTTGTTGTTGTTGTTGTTGTTTTAGTTTGTGTCCTTCTGCCTCCCTTTTCGTTATGAAACAGCCCATACATAGTGTGAACCACCACACCCAGCTTAGGATGTTATTTTTAAGTAGACATATAAAACATACTTGAAACAAAACAATCATAGTCAAATAATTTACTTATTTATGTACTTTTCTCTAATAATTTGTTTGTAACAACTGTAATTGATTTACTAATAAAAATCTCCTGAGATAATAATCACCTAAATGTCACCTCATTCTGAACCTTGTGACAGAGATCACATGAACTTACTTAGGAAACCCACGTGGAATCCAAGGCATAAGTCTGGATTATATTTAATGCTGACAACTCTGAGAGGTCATCTTTTGTCTTTCTATTTTACTGTTTTTTTTGTTGTTGTTGTTGTTGTTGTTGTTGGGTTGTTTTGGAGATAAAATCCTGATAGGTAGTTCAGGTGACTTGGAATTCACTATGTGCTCTAGGCTAACTTTGAATTTGTGATTCTTTGGTTTTAGCCTCCTGAGAGCTGGGATCAGGTATGCACTACCACACCCAACTGTAAAATCGCTCCACTAATCCAACAGTATTTTTATTTAATAAAGATTTTCTCAAAATCTTAAGTGTCTGGGTCAGTTCTTTTTTTAGAAATACTTAATTACGTAAGAACTTATTTGTTTTAAGCTGATTAAGTAGAGCTTTTACGAGTTATTTTTGGAGATGGGAGGATATCATTCGTATGACACATATGGCTTATATAAACATAGTGACAGACACAAACAGAAGCCTCAAATCTTAAAAACTTCAGTCTGTAGGCAGGAGTAGTTATACCAGACTCACTACTGTGGAACAGTTAGACCAAAGCCGTGCTCCTGACAGGTGGGTTAAGTTTATCCATGAAGAAGAGAAAACTTTCTTACCAGGATCTGTGTTGCAAACTTTGAAGATTTAAAAATGCTTGCTCTGTTTCAGAAGGCCCTCTTTTTCACTGCCTCTATTCTTCTGAACTCTCAATTCTTGAGGATACCCCTCAAGTCCTAGGTGGTGAAGTAGAACATTTCTGTCTTAAAACACAGAAGTTTTTCTTCTGCTCTGTGTGTGTGTGTGTGTGCGCATGTGTGCGCACATGTGTCTGCGTGCATGTGTGTGTGCACCTGTGTGAATGTGTGTAGACGTGTGTGCATGAATGCATGTGTGTGCGCGCGTGCGTGGGCGTGTATATGTGTGTGGTTTCGTTGGTTTTATGTTCCTTGTTGGTTTGTTTTGAAGTAATGAAGACTGAGCACAGGGCCTCATTTGCGCTCAGAAGCACTTAACAGCTGAGATACATTCTGAGACCCTCACTTGCTTTCTAAATTTGTGTTTTATTTTGTTCATTTGCTTTTTTATTCTTTTGGTTTTGGTGTTGGTTTATTATTAGGAGTTTAAGACACACTTGTCTTGTCGAGGTCAGTTTTATGGGGTCTTTGGACTTAGTTTAGGTGAGAGACTGTAGGGAGGCTTTGGCTGTCTGAATGTTTCCAAAGCGTCGCTGAACAGAGAAAAGATTTGTTCCATTTGTAATCAGTCTCCTGGGGATTCCTGCGTCTTTTAAGAGCAGCGGGGACCTAAAGCTCAAGTGACTCGAGTTCTGGACTGGGAAAGGGAGAATTCTGGCAGTGCACAGAGGAGCTGAACAGAAGAAGGTCATCCAGCCAACCGAGGAGTTCCCGTAGGAGATGAAGGGTAATGGAGAGAACAGAAAGGCTCACAGAGATGCAGTAAGGACTTCAACCCAGGGAGGCGGGGAGTAATTCCCACTTAGGAAAGAGGCCCAGGAAGACCTCCCAGCCTGCAGGTGCCTCTCAAAAGAAGCTGGGCACACTCTGCCGCCGCTTCAAAAACTGTGCTCAGAATCTTAAGACTCATAATTGCTCCTTACCAGCTCCAACAATGCGCACAAGCTTCAAAGATGCGCACCAGCTCCAAAGATGCGCATCGGCTCCAAAGATGCGCACCAGCTCGACTCGTCATTAGATCCTTGATCGTCAGTCATTTTACCGCTATGACAATATACCTAATAATATCAGCGTAAGGAAGGGTGTGTTTTGATTCACAGTACCATGGTACAGTCTATGGCGGCAGAGATTTGGGGACTGGTGTGTCAGCTGGTCACATTGCAGCAGCAGTCTAGAAACAGAGACAAAGGACCAATGGTTACCTGGCTCTCTCTCACCCCCTCCCCGCAGTCTCCAGGATGGCACTGCTCAGGTTAAGGAAGATCTTCCCCTGTCAGCTAATCCTTTCTGGAAATGCCTTGACAGACATGCCCAGGGGGTCGCCTCCCAAGCAATTCTAAGTTCAGTCAGGTAAATTAACCATTACATGAGTCAGTCCATCAGGAACAAGACGAAGGCTTCAGACTTTCACAGCTGGGGTCTTGGGATTGAATGAGAAATCAAATCTTGTCTGAGCCACACACAAAGTAATTGTTAAAAATTATCTCTGCCA